TGTAGTGGCATTTTAAGCATATGAACAACAAATATGATCTTAAATTCTTAGGCCCTATAGAAAATAAAAATTACCAAGCATATAATTCTAACATTTAGGTAACAAAGTTTCATTGCACTGATCCACAGTCAGCATTAGCAACAGGTATGTTCTTGAGATTCGGAAAGGACTCCTTTGTAGGAAATAAAGCAACAAATTCTGACACACACAGTTCTAAGTAAACAACTAAGTAACTAGTAACCTATGTAACTTTTCATTTGGACTCCATGTCATCTTCCATATCTCATTAGGAAAATTAAATATACATTTTAATAACCTGAAGTTTTTTTCAGTGTAACACCCAAAGAAATTTTTTCTTAACTTATATGCTTCTATCCAAAATGTAACTCAGAAGCTTCATGTTGTAATACGTTACTATTATAAACAAACAGAAAACACACTCCATTAAATATGAAACATCTATTACAAATCAGTGATTCTTACCATTAACAGGATCTCATACTTCTTTGCAAATCTGATGAAAGCTATGCATATAATTTAGGAAACTCATGGATGCCATGAAACCTACCAATGGGTCCCTAATATTTGAATAATACTGATTAGTGGAAAAGGATGGAGTCCAAAACTGATCCAAGAACATACAAAAACATAATATATAAATAAAAGAACTATAACATACAGTGAGAAAAATGGATTATTAACATAATATTTGCCATAAGTGACTATTCATTGAGAGATATTACAAGAAATCTCTATAAACATATGAATGCTTTAATGAGCTAAATGTAAAAAAATAAAAATTATGGAATACAATAACAAAATATAGAGAATGTACATAATCTAGATTGGAGGAAGTCTTCTTAAACAAGAATAAGAAACCTACTTGCCTAACATAATATATTTGACTGTGTAATTTTTATAATTTCTGTATATGCAAAATGCACCATTAAGTCAAAGGGCAAATGACAGACTTGGAAAAAACAGATGTAAAACATATGACAGATAAAAGATTACTAATTATAATACTTAAAACAAAAACCTAAATATTGGTAAGATAAACTACCCAATAGACAAATGAAAATGAACTAACAACTAAACAATGTTTAACCTAATTAGAAGTTGAGGAAATGTAAATTAATGGAACAACATATTTCACAGCTTCAGACTGGCAAAAATTAAACACTTACAGTATTCAGTGTTTCTGAGAGTGTTTTAGCAATGTAGATTACTATAATCTTTTGGAAAACTAGTTTTTTGGAAAATAAATTTTAAAATCTCTTATATTATAAAATGCATATATCCTTAGTCCCAGCAATCCCATAGATAGGAGAATTTCTCCTAGTGAAAATGACATCAACACACAAGGAGTTAAATGGACATACTAGGGTATAAGGATGTTTCTTGTAACATTGTTTATAATACCAAAGAAAAGAAATCATAAAAAAGCAAAAATAGGCTGGGGGCTTAATGGTCATTATTGGCATAACGGCATAATAATTTATGATAAATGCAAACTATGCAATATTATACAGTTATTAGAATGAGTAAGTCAAACTTGTATGTATGGACCTGGAAAGCTGTCTATGGTATTAACTGAAAAAAAGCAAAGTACAGAGTAACATGTATACCATAATCTCATATTCATTAAAAAAAAAACACCTTATATTATGTGATAGTTTTTTTTAATGAATTCCTGTTTATATAGTTAATTTCCCAAGTAGTCAATAAATACACCTAAGTTTTGAGCACATTTACTGCTCTATTAGGGTTTTGCCATCAAAATACTCTTAAATCAAGGTACATAAAGCACTACCAGACAACACAATCCTTTGGAATCTTTTACAACACAATAGAAAAGATAAATAATAAAAACTACTTTTAAGAGCAAAAATGTTTAATAGTTTTTCTAATGCCAAAATAAGAATGCTCTTTAATATTGTGATTTTACATTTACAGAAAACCACCACATTTTTTTTTCTGTAGCAAAAATAAGCTATTTCAGTTGCTTCATTGGGTAATATAATTATGTTCATTATAGAGATATAAACAAGAGCCAGACATTACACTAAACCAATTCCTTTGTGTCAGAAATTGGATTTTCTCAAAATGATATTCATTCTTCACAATAAATGCAATTAACATGATATTACAGTTTAAAAATTCTATTCAAACTGCTAAATCTTAGTATGATGTTAATATAAAGTCCCAAGCAGCCTGGTATAATTAAAGGAACACACTTGATTTGAAATCAGATGTAACCTGTGTTCCAACACTGGTTCTAATACTTACTAGCTATGTGGTCAGGTTATATAATCTTTCAGACTGTTCCTGCATTTGTAAAAATGGCTTTCTATAGTGTTCTTGAAAGATTAAATAAAATTATCACATATGTAAGTGCCTAGCACTGAGTCTGGTTGTCAAACTATGCCTTCTTCTGCTTTTCTTTCCTAAGCAAGATTACTAACTGGTAACATCTGTTTTAGTACTGCCTTTTATAAGACTTTTTAAACCATATCCTATATAATAAAAGGCTAATATGCAAATTGATCGGTGGAATGACCGGTGGAATGACCGGTTGCTATGATGTGCACTGACCACCAGGGGGCAGATGCTCAATGCAGAAGCTGCCCTCTGGTGGTCAGTGTGCACACACGGGGGAGTGCCGCTCAGCCAGAAGCCGGGCTCACAGCTGGAGAGCGCAGCGGTGGTGGCAGGAGCCTCTCCCATCCAGTGCTAAGGATGTCCAACAGCTGGCCTCATTCAGACATCCCCTGAGGGGTCCCGGACTGCAAAATGGCGCAGGCCGGCCTGAGGAACCACACGGCGCCCCCCCGCCCCGCCCCCCAGTGCACAAATTTCATGCACCAGGCCTCTAGTAAAGTAATATATTTTATTTGCCATATTTTTGCATCTCTAGAGTATAAATTCAAGTGTCTTGTATTTCTTGGCTCATTTTTTTAGAATGATTTCGTATGATCCATATTTATTAGAATTTAAACTTTCTCTTTTTTAAAATTATATTTTATTGATTTCAGAGAGGAAGGGAGAGCGTGAAATAGAAACATCGATGATGAGAGAGAAACACTGATCAGCTGCCTCCTACACACCCCACACTAGGAATCAAGCCCACAACCCGGGCATGTGCCCTGACAGGGAACGAACTGTGACCTCCTGGTTCATAAGTTGACATTCAACCACTGAGCCATGCTGGCCAGACTAAAATTTTCTTTCTTGTAAAACACACACACACACAAAACAAAACAACCCACCACGTTATTTTCTAGCTGTGGCTCTCTACATCTTCAGATAACTCTCTTTTTAAAATCATTCAGGTTGTGTCTATGAAAACCACTTTCAGGTATTATGAAAAAAACATTAGGCAAGGAAAGAAAATAAAAATTTGAAGTTATCCTAACCCACCATAATGTGTCCAAGAATATAGCCATTCAACAAAGAATAAGTACAGGTTTTAATTTTAACGTGTCAAATTTCTCTAAGTCATTTTTTTTTTCCTTTAAAGCTGGATCATTAATGAGGCCAGAATATGGTTCTGGATGCTGCTAAATGGATCCAAACAAAAGACAAAGTGTATTGACCAACCTTCAATACTTAAAGTGAATATTTTTCCATCATACATTAATAAAATCACAGTAAATAAATCTGGTATCTCTTCAAAACTGTAAAGGGTTTTACCCTCAACTTGAGGGCTGGAATTATCCTTAGCTCCTCTTCAACTTCATATCAGCTACTATTGGCAATATTACAATTATTTTCTGATACATTTGTCTCAAATACTAATCATCACCCACAGCAGCATCTAGCTATTACTTCTATGTCTAAATTATACTGCTGCTGGTATTTTATTGCTTGCTTCTCAAAAAGTATTTAAAGAGACACTGAGGTGAAAATGTATGCATAAAAACACTTCATATTACTTTTCCATATTCAAAGTATGGCCTCTTGAGCTGATTTTTAAGTGCCAAGTACATTTTTAAATCAAAATGGATCGCTTGCATTCTTTGAACACCCCCTGCCCATTCCGTGCTCCTCCCAAATGCCAAAGTTCCCTTCCACTCTGAAAGTACTTATTAAATCTGTGCATTTTTCTGGTCTTTCACTTCACTACCCAACTTTTTGTACTTCAGACCTCCTCACCCATTAAAGTGAGCACTGTTAGCTCCTTAAGGTACTTAGCCATATGGTTCACTTTTTGCATAATCCTGCTTTTCCCTTCATAAACTTCAATCTCAATAACTCAGCGTTCCCTCCTCTAAAGTCATAAACATTGCCGCGAGGCAATGGACAGATACATATTCCTATCTTAAGCCCAAAATATTAATCAGTTGGGCACTACGAAAAATCAAAAGCCAGGAAGCCTCGTCTCGGTATCTCGTTGAAGCGTTTTCTTTGCTTTCCTGTCCTACCTGGCCAGCTGCTTTCTCCCGTCAGTTGTGTGGTCCCTTGCTGCCCCCAGCACAAGAGTGCAACTCACTACAGAGCATTTCCGTTACTCACCATCATGCCCAGTATCTCCCTCCATTTCTGCGCATCTAGCCCCAGGTGTACCTCAAGATTCTGTATCCAGGTGCCCACATTCTCAAATCAGAGTTACCCCCTCGCCTGACATTGCCCGGGCTTTCGGGACGGCTTCTAAGAGAGCACACAGGCTGCGCGTGTCAGTCCCCGCCGAGTTCGGATGTGTCTTGCTCTCTCCCCGTGGGATGCCTACTTCGGGGTAACGTTCTGGCTCTAGGAAGCCCGACCTCGCAACCTCTGTCCCATGACCTCGAGAGCCCAGCACAGCACTCAAGCTTCATGCACACTATTCTTGGAGCTTGTGCTCTCCATGTCCTCAGCTCTCCCTGCAACCTTGTTCAGCCCCTAGCCGCCAAACCAGACCCCAGGTTGGGCGAACGCCCGCCTGCTCGGGTTGCAACGCCTCCCCGTCCCGGCCCCCCTCCCACAGCACGCACGCAGCCCGGAGTGGCTCCGCTCCTCACCTAGCTTCGATCGGGACTCCTCCAGTTTCTGGATCTGGTTCTCCAAGAAGAGCATCGCCACCGCGAAGGCCACCACCGCCAGCAGCTGCAACTTGGGCGGCATCATAATCCTGAGGAGCCCCATGAAACCCGCCGCTCGGGATCAAGACATACCGCGGGGGGCGGGGAGCGCAGCCCCGGAGGCGAGGAAGACGCCGGGAGGAGCCCACCGAGCCGGCAGAAAGGCAAGGAGAGCGCGACAGCGAGAGCACCACCGCAGCGACCCCCCTCTCTGCCTCCCAGTCCCCCGCCCCCAGGCGCCAGCACCAACGCCGCCGGTGCCCGCTTCTCCTCGGACGACTCGACGGCTGCCCCCTCCAAAAGCCCGCGCTGCAACACAGCGCGAAGCGGCTGCCGGGCTCTCGCCTCCCTCTACTGCCTCAGTCACCGACCTCCGCGCCTGCCTGCCTGCCTGCCTGGCTCCCTTCCTTCCTTCCCTCCTTTGCTCGCGGCCGCGCGCTCCTCCGCCAGCGCTGCGGCTGCGGCTGCGCCGCCCCCGGCCCCGCCCCCTGCCCATCCCCCGCCGCCACCAGGCGCACGCACCCACGTACGCTGCTTGGCAACCAGAGGCTCCACCCCCTGCTCCCGCTCGGTGGTGCTTATTGGACCGCAGAACCCCAGCGCTTCGCTCTCGGTTCGTGTTACGGTTGGTTTCCTTTGCGATAGGTGTCATGCAAAACGGCATTCGATTGGGTAGAGTTGGAGAAGGAGGCTGGCCGAAACTGACGAGGGCGGAGCTTCTTGGCTGATATGGCAATGTCGTGAATGAAAGGAAGGAACCCTTAAGCACAGATTTGGGGAGTTTAGGAAAGTGCCTGATATGGGTTATCGAAAGGACCCACGATTTTATATGTATATCAATGTAAAGATATTCGATCACCTTTAAGCTTCCGTGTGCCCGTGGGTAATCCCTCTCTGCGGACTGACAGATTTGATGGCAACGGCTCTTAAGCAGCCTGTTTTACGTCAGGCTCTAGGGTGGACTCCCCTGGCTGAGGGGACCTTTGGGCAGCCGGAGACCGAGGGAGGTGGTAGCGATGGCGGCTGGACCAAGCGGAGGGCTTGGGCCGGCGTTTGGGCTGAGGTTGCTGTTGGCGACTGTGCTGCAAGCGGTGAGTGGAGATCCCCTCCGCGGCAGCCCCCTAGCGAGTGGGAGGGCTGCGCTGAGGAGGACGGGTCAGATTTGGGAGCCACACTTGCAAAGGGTGGGAGGACTGGGTTTCCTTGGCCACTGCTGCGGCCGGAGTGCGACGTGGCTGTTTCCTCGTTTGATGCTTATCCTTCCTGGCTCGGGGTTCCTAACGGTTCTTTCTCCTGGCTTCAGACTATATCGGGTATTTATCTGCTCTTGCAGAGTTCCTGCTAAAAACACTGTAAATCACACCAGCGGGGAGAAAGGCGATGAATCTTGGAAAGCGATGAAAATTGCTTTTTAACGGGAGGAAATAAAACCGTTCTTTATGACAAGGTTCCCAGATCTTAGAGAAAAGCCCGCAAGTCTTTGGGTACAGGGTGTACGTCCCATTTACTTATTTCTCTCAACTGTTAGTGTTCCCTTAATTCATAGACAGCCTTTATCTCCGTTCTCTGACATGCACGTACCTGGAGGATGCACTACAGGGGTGTGTGTGTGTGCGTGGGTGTGGGTGTGGGTGTGGGTGTGGATGTGGGTGGTTTTAAACAACGTTGTTGCAATAAAAGCAGCTACTCTATACCAAAGCATAACTTATCTTTTTAAATACATTTTCTAAAATGATAGTCTTCATCTCGTTTAAAAGCGGGTAGTATTACCCAAGGGTTTTTTTGTGTTGTTTTCTTTTAACTTCATTTTTCTTCAATAGAGCAGATGCGTTCTTAATCTTTGAGGAAAGGCTAGTTTTTACTTATTTTCCTATTCACCATGAACAATTTAATATTGGTTAATTCCTCCTAAAAAGTTTGCAATCCGTGTTTTGCTGTGCGAGTAAAACTTTTTTAGTAGGCGCCGTGCTGCGATCACACATTTCTTTTATCAGCTTAATTCTTCAGGTATTCTTACGAGCCTGCTGGGTTTTCTCGGTCCTAGACAGTAGTTCTCAACCTTGGCTGCACATTAGAATCACCTGGGAATCTTTTTAAAATCCTGATTTCTGGGCCTCATCCTCCGGAAATTCTGTTTCTTTGTTATGGGGGGGGGCCACAACATTCGTAACAAAGAAATAGAATTTCCGGAGAATGGGGCCCAGGAAATCAGGGATTTTAAAAAGATTCCCAGGTGATTCTAATGTG